ACAGAAAGACTGACTCAAGGAGAGGGCTCAGGAGGAGTCAGTTGGGAAGAGAGAAACTCTGAAACCCTTCTGGGGCTAGGTGGCTCAACTACCTTCTCATCCAAATAGGAAAGGGATACCTCTAGAGAAGGCAAAGTCACACCACCAGTTAAACCTTGCACTAATCCCAAAACCCTCGGGTGTTTTGGAGCTGGAAGCAAGGGGTGGGGGGAAAACTGAAGGCGGCCCCACTACACCCAGAAGGGAAGGAAGAGGTGTGGATTGAGCCAAGTTGAAGTTCACCAACACCTCCAATTCCAAGTCACTAAACACAAAATGTTTTAATTCCAGGGCATCCAAATGGGCACAAAGCTGCAAATGCTGAAGGCGGGCAAAATAAACCAGCAAAGTGACAGCTGCCTGACAAACTTCAACCTCAGAAGCCAGGTTAGAAAGAGGAGTTGCATCCAGGGAACACATGCCAGAATACTTGGGGTCATAGGTTTCACCAATCCCACAGGCAGCATGGCAGAGGCAGAAAGAATGGTTGTCATCATGTGGCACAGATTATGAACATCACTTAAACTCGCAAAGAGTAAGTTTGGTTGTGGTGAAATGATCCATGGGAACCATACTTAAACACCTCTGGTGATTACCAGGGCCTGAAGGAATAACCAAGCACTGGGAATACTTGCCTGAAGAATAAGCAAAAACAAAAAAACAGCCTAATCAATGGGGCTCTGAAAGTTGATCTCGGCATATTATGTAAAACAGGCATGCAAACCCTCAGTGCACCCTACCAAACCAAAATGTTTACTCCCAATGACAGGTGACACAAGTCAAAAGGATACTTGAAATACTTGAGGTAAGGCACCCCAACCTGGTGGTCTTGGTTGAGGTGCCTCCCAAACACAGAAGAGAGGTAACTATCAGTGCAGGGGCAGCACCACAGAGCACCGAGGGAAGTAACCGTATGCACCTGCAGCTCCAGGCACAAAGTGAGCCAAATCCATGCAACTTACTGGTAGAAAAACATGCTCGTGAAACAAATAATAAAAACTGGAACAATAAACAAGCACATGGCCCCACAGGCCGCAGATGTCCAAGGATGGACAGCACTTTAGACTAGATGCAGTAGGACCCATGCAACTGGTTGGTGACCCAAGAGCACTACAGCGATCAACTGGCATCTACCATATCAGTGATCAATGATAACTAACTTGAGAGAGTTAGGAGAGGGCTGGGGCTCCAGGCCACCTGGTGGTGAGGAATTGGTAGTAACAAGTTCATGCAACCCGTCCTTGACTCAAGTCCATTCCATCCAGCGGTCGACCTCACAGACGCATTCAGAAATTTGTACATGCTGGTCATTCAAAAGAGGAATTTTCTCAAATATAAATTAATATTATAATAGCATATTGTGCATATATAGGCATAGGTTAGGTTAGGTTAGGTGTTTAGATTCTGTTGGCAATTATATGTATTTGTAGTACGTGGGTGAAGCATTTACAACGTTGTGGTTTGAACAAAATTCGTCAGCGAAGCCCTTGTTCCGGAAGTGTTCGAACGTCAACAGCTGTGAGTCGTGTGTAAACCAATTTTCATTCATAAAGAGGGGGGTTTGGCAGGTGCATGGAATCACTTTTGGGTCTTTGTTTGGAGGACGGGCTGGTTCATGACAGTTTCGAGGGTGTTAATTGTTTGTTTGGAGAGTTCATTTGGCAATTTTTGAGGCTTCAGTTCTTTTGAACCCAGCAGTGGTCTACATTGGTATGTTGACTTTCAGGATACTTTCCCGCTGGGGTGGTAGTGTGTCATCTGCTCTCATCACCTCTGTGAGGGAGAGTGGGCAGTTTGTGGCTCTGGCTCCTGTTAGGCCAAACAGAACTCTATGGCTGGTGTAACCTAATAATTGGGAGCAATCTCGGCAAGATAGCTTTGGGCAGCCACTAGGGTCTTCCTCAAAAATAAATGAGGAATGTTGCAACCGATCCTCTTGTTTAGATTGTACCATCATACATATATTGATGTAAAATGCAATTAGATAGTAGAATGTGGTATTATATTATTCACTTAATAGTCCCAAAAAATTAATCCAGAAAACAAACTTAAATATTCCTAAGATTAGTATAGCAAGATTAGCTTACTAAGATTAGTAAGGGAGCCGGTCGGCCGAGTGGACAGCACGCTGGATTTGTGATCCTGTGGTCCTGGGTTCGATCCCAGGCACCGGCGAGAAACAATGGGTAGAGTTTCTTTCACCCTATGCCCCTGTTACCTAGCAGTAAAATAGGTACCTGGGTGTTAGTCAGCTGTCAAGGGCTGCTTCCTGGGGGTGGAGGCCTGGTCTAGGACCGGGCCGCGGGGACACTAAAGCCCCGAATTCACCTCAAGATAACCTCAAGATAGCACATATATGTACTATATTAGGCCTAGGAAGGTTAGGTTAGGTTAGTTTAGGTTTTCTTTGCAACATAAATACAAATCCTTTTCCAATTTGTCCAAATTCAGTAGTACCAATTTCTATTTTCTAATTGCCTTCTTTATCAATTTATGTACAATGGTCCTCATTGTTATTACAAGTACTGTACTACCTAAACAGGAGGATACCTTACCTTGAGGATACCTTGAGGTGCTTCCGGGGCTTAGCGTCCCCGCGGCCCGGTCGTCGACCAGGCCTCCTGGTTGCCGTACTGATCAACCAGGCTGTTGGACGCGGCTGCTCGCAGCCTGACGTACGAGTCACAGCCTGGTTGATCAGGTATCCTTTGGAGGTGCTTATCCAGTTCTCTCTTGAACACTGTGAGGGGTCGGCCAGTTATGCCCCTTATGTGTAGTGGAAGCGTGTTGAACAGTCTCGGACCTCTGATGTTGATAGAGTTCTCTCTGAGTACCTGTTGCACCTCTGTTTTTCAACGGGGGTATTCTGCACATCCTGCCATGTCTTCTGGTCTCATGTGATGTTATTTCTGTGTGCAGGTTTGGGACCAGCCCCTCTAATATTTTCCACGTGTAAATTATTATGTACCTCTCCCGCCTGCGCTCAAGGGAGTACAGTTTTAAGCTCTTTAGTCGGTCCCAAAAGTTTAGATGTTTTACTGAGTGGATTCTAGCAGTAAAGGATCTCTGCACGCTCTCCAGGTCAGTAATTTCTCCAGCTTTGAAAGGTGCTGTCATTGTGCAGCAGTACTCCACTCTAGAGAGCACAAGCGTTTTGAAAAGTATCATCATCGGTATAGCATCTCTAGTGTGAAAAGTTCTTGTTATCCAACCTGTCATTTTTCTTGCAGTTGTGACGGCTACTTTATTGTGTTCTTTAAAGGTAAGGTCTTCCGACATGAGTACACCCAGATCCTTTACATTGCCTTTTCGTTCTATGTTATGATTTGCCTGAGTTTTGTACGTGGTTTCCGTTTTTATATTTTCATTTTTTCCATAGCGCATGAGCTGGAACTTATCTTCGTTAAACACCATATTATTTTCTGTAGCTCATAGAAAGACCTGATCTACATCTGACTGGAGGTTCGCCGTGTCCTCTATGTTGCCTACTCTCATGAAGATCCTAGTGTCATCTGCAAAGGATGATACAGTGCTATAGGTTGTGTTCTTGTCTATGTCCGAAATGAGGATGAGAAAAAGTACTGGAGCAAGCACAGTACCCTGGGGGACTGAGCTCTTCACGGTTGATGGGCTGGATTTTATTTTGTTGACTATTACACATTGGGTTCTGTTGGTCAGGAAATTGTAGATCCATCTGCCTATTTTTCCGGTAATTCCTTTTGAACGCATTTTATGTGCAATAACACCATGGTCACATTTATCAAAAGCTTTTGCGAAATCTGTGTAAATTACATCCGCGTTATGTTTGTCGTCCATAGCATCTAATGCCATATCATAGTGGTCCAGCAACTGCGACAGGCAAGAGCGCCCTGTTCTGAAACCATGTTGTCCGGGGTTATGGAGTTGCTGTGATTCCATGTATTTTGTGATTTTACTTCTTAGCACACTCTCAAAAATTTTTATGATGTGCGATGTTAGCGCTATCGGTCTGTAATTTTTTGCCTCTGCCTTATTTCCTCCTTTATGAAGTGGTGCTATCTCTGCTGTTTTTAGTATATCAGGAATAACGCCAGTGTCTAGGCTTTGTCTCCACAGAATGTGGAGGGCCTGCGATAGTGTTTTTTTTACAGTTCTTTATGAATATGGTGTTCCAAGAATCCGGGCCTGGTGCAGAGTGCATAGGCATACTGTTCATGGCTTCTTCAAAATCCAGTGGGGGTAGAGTGACATCTGATATATGATTTGATGTTGGTATCGTATCCATGAAAAATTCATTTGGGTTATCAATCTTTAGTGTGTTTAATGGCTCGCTGAAAACAGAGTCGTACTGCGTCCTCAGTAGCTCGCTCATTTCTTTGTTGTCATCGGTGAAAGTTCCATCTCCCTTTCGCAGGGGCCCGATACTAGATGTGGTTTTTGATCTTGATTTTGCGTAGGAGAAAAAATATTTCGGATTTCTTATCCGGAGGAGAATGGATGGGCTGAATCCTGAAAAATATGAGGAATGTTGAAATGTTCATAAACAATTAAATATATCCAGCTACATTACACAATCTTTTATCAAAGCACATTTTGCTTTGCATCCATACTCTAGAAATTCATTTGCAAACATTTTGACACCAAATTTATAATTAGAAACAGAAAATCAGCTGTGGTTGGGTGTGCACTGACAGATCGGGAATGTTACTGCTAAGTGACCGATTTATGACAAATGCATATACTGTACTGTATGGTGTCATCTGGATTGGTAATTCCTATTCTGGCAGAAAGTTAACATTATTAGATATTTCTAAAAAAAAAAAAAAGTAATAATCAAGCCATGAATACAGTATCCTGTTTTCTGAGCATGTGGAGAAAGATGCAAAATGTTCCTGCTACAAATATTATTAATTTTGTGTACAGTATTGTCTTACCTTGAGTTTTTATTACTTATCATCTTTCATGTTTATTTCTTTTTGCAGCCAAGAGAATCAATCAACCTCCCAAAGCAATCATTGTTTCTCCATCTCAAGAAATTAAGCTTCCAACCTCGGGGGTCATTATTGATGGCTCAGGAAGCACAGATGATGATGAGATAGCATCATACCACTGGGAGATGGTAACTGCTCCATTAGGATACAAACTCCCTGATCAAACAGGGCCAACATTACAGCTCACTGATCTTATTCCAGGAACATATAGAATAATGTAAGTTCCATTTTAGGTACAGTATCTTTTCTGGGGGGAGCTCCTACAGCTCCCTGGAGCTTACTAGGCTGATATGCTAATGTCAGACTTTGGTATCAGTCATGTGTATGGAGTTCTCATGGGCCTACCGGGGACCACGAGCCAGAACCTGGCCCCCCTCAGAGAGGCAAGGGGGAGCAATGGCCTATAGAAAACCCCGTGTAGTTGGAAGCATTCTATGTCTGCCATCTACCGGGTTAGGCACCCAGAAAGGTAGGTGTCCCAAAACAAACCCCTATTCTGGTGGAAATTGCAGCCAAAAGCGAACGAGTGGATAGAACTCCACAAACAAAAACGAGAAAACTAGTATGACGTCACACATCATCGCGCCGCTGTCTGTGCAGCTCCCCCTCCCCGGGAGGGAAAAGGGGTAGCCCCAGACCTACCACGCCGGCGATCCACACCCTAGTTCTTCGGCTGATGCTAATGGCACCGGTTGTGAGCTCCGGCTCCAGTGGTTGTTTCAGCACTGTACCTAGAGTGTGGTGTCTGTCTTCTAGGTGGTGCGTGAGCCGGGAGTGAGTCTCCAGTACTCGAGCTGCATGCGCCTAGTGTTCCCTTCCCTAGGTGCTCTGTAAGTACTGCCCTTTGGGCTTGGGGTTACCTTCCACAAGTTCCTTGGGTCCTGCTTCTGCTAGGCCATTTGCTACTCGGTTTTTGGACGCCCTTTGTGTGATAAGGGGTTCTGTCTCCCTTGTTCACCTTAGGGTAAGGGGCAGTTTGCACTGGCGGGGTGCAGGGTGCTGCGCAGCTTTTTTTCACCAATCATAGCGGCCAGCTGTTCCACCTGGGTACACTATACTCTTGCGGGGTTTTCTTTTTCTTTTTGTTTGTCTACCTGGTGGGGGCTCTGCCTTTGGTTCTTTCTCCCTTTGTGCCGAGTTCTCTTCCTTCTTCCGGTGGTTCCACCTGCTAGGTCCCCGTGAGTGTACATGTCCCGGGGGTTCAGCTCTTAGAATGTTGTTTGGTAGCCATGGGCACCGGTTAGCAGTACCCTGCCTGGGATTACCTGAGCACAAGTCCTCTTATAGTAAACGCTCAGGACCCTGGGAAACCCCTAGGGGGAGCGTGGGCCCAATAGATTTAGCCCCGGAGTCCCCCCCTTCCTCGCTTTGTGCGAGTTCGAGGGTTGCTCAGTCCCCTTGTCTCAGGGTGACTCTCATGGTTTTGCCTCCGTCTGCAGCTTGTGGGGTCGGTGACACCTTCGGCCCAGGGTCCTGCAAGTTTTGTTGCTTTTTTGTGACTTGGTTACCCAGTCTTATGCTGACTATGTGGGTGCAGGCTGCACGGGCATTGCACGTTGGGTTTCAGTGGCAACGCACTAGTTGTTTGCTCCCCGGAAGCCCCGAGGCTGCCTCGTTTTCGTTGGTGGTCTTGTCGGGTCCCCCCCCCCCCCCTCCTCCCTACATCCGGGACTTTATCGTCTGTGGGTTCGGGGTTGGGGAGGGGCTTCCATGGTTTTGAGACTCGGTTGGTCTCGGGGACTTTCCCTTCCGGGAGTAGCGATGGAAGCATTCAAGCCTGTTTTCTTTAGCCGTGTTGTAAGAGTCTGCCAGTGGGCTCTCTTCCTTAGTGCTTTTCATGGCTGCCCCGGTTTTTTCTTGTGGCTGGAGCTTTGGGGGGGACAGCTCGGCCCCGGGACCTGCCGGGTGGGTTCCCGGGGCTGGGGTGGGGGGCCTCAGGTCCCGTTGGTCCCTGCCGGGGTTTTTCTACCCCTCTGTACGGGGCTTGCGGTTTTGTGGAGTAGGGTTTTTCCTTCTTCACCCCTCTCCACACGAGTATTTGGGCATCGGCCTCTCTCCGGGCTCGTTTCCTTGTCCATTATGTCCATTGCTTCCGTTCTGTCGGTGGGTGCTTTTCTACGTTCTTCGCCCCTTTTTCCCTGGACGGGACTTCTCCATCATGTCCCCCTCTTCTTGGGGTTCTGCATGACTTTTGGTCTCGGGTGCGAAGGGGTTTTTCTGTGCCTTCGTCCTTTGTAATTACCTAAGTGTAATTACCTAAGTGTAATTACCTAAGTGTAGTTACAGGATGAGAGCTACGCTCGTGGTGTTCCGTCTTCCCAGCACTCTTTGTCATATAACGCTTTGAAACTACTGACGGTCTTGGCCTCCACCACCTTCTCACCTAACTTGTTCCAACCGTCTACCACTCTATTTGCGAAAGTGAATTTTCTTATATTTCTTCGGCATCTGTGCTTAGCTAGTTTATATCTATGACCTCTTGTTCTTAAAGTTCCAGGTCTCAGGAAATCTTCCCTATCGATTTTATCAATTCCTGTTACTATTTTGTATGTAGTGATCATATCACCTCTTTTTCTTGTCTTCTAGTTTTGGCATATTTAATGCCTCTAACCTCTCCTCGTAGCTCTTGCCCTTCAGTTCTGGGAGCCACTTAGTAGCATGTCTTTGCACCTTTTCCAGTTTGTTGATGTGCTTCTTAAGATATGGGCACCACACAACTGCTGCATATTCTAGCTTTGGCCTAACAAAAGTCGTGAACAATTTCTTTAGTATATCGCCATCCATGTATTTAAAAGCAATTCTGAAGTTAGAAAGCGTGGCATAGGCTCCTCGCACAATATTCTTTATGTGGTCCTCAGGTGATAGTTTTCTATCTAGAACCACCCCTAGATCTCTTTCTTTATCAGAATTCTTTAAAGATTTCTCACATAATATATAGGTTGTGTGGGGTCTATGTTCTCCTATTCCACATTCCATAACATGGCATTTATTAACATTAAATTCCATTTGCCAAGTGGTGCTCCATGTACTTATTTTGTCCAGGTCTTCTTGAAGGGCATGACAATCATCTAAGTTTCTTATCCTTCCTGTTATCTTAGCATCATCAGCAAACATGTTCATATAATTCTGTATACCAACTGGTAGATCATTTATGTAGACAATAAACATCACTGGTGCAAGAACTGAACCCTGTGGTACTCCACTTGTGACATTTCTCCAGTCCGATACATTGCCTCTGATCACAGCCCTCATTTTTCTATCAGTCAGAAAATTTTTCATCCATGTTAGAAGCGTACCTGTCACTCCTCCAATATTTTCCAGTTTCCAGAATAACCTCTTATGTGGAACTCTGTCAAAAGCCTTTTTTAGGTCCAGATAGATGCAGTCAACCCAACCATCTCTTTCCTGTAATATCTCTGTTGCTCGATCATAGAAACTGAGTAAATTCGATACACAGGATCTTCCAGATCGAAAACCATACTGTCTGTCTGATATTATATAATTTCTCTCCAGGTGTTCTACCCATTTAGATTTAATTATTTTTTTCCAATATTTTGACTATTACACTTGTCAATGATACCGGTCTATAATTAAGGGGGTCTTCCTTGCTTCCACTTTTGTAGATTGGAACTACGTTAGCCTTTTTCCACACATCAGCTACAACTCCTGTAAACAGGGATGCCTGAAAAATCAGTTGAAGAGGAATGCTGAGCTCAGGTGCACATTCTCTCAGAACCCATGGTGAAACTCCATCTGGACCAACTGCTTTGTTCTTATTTAGCTCCTTGAGCATTTTTTCCACTTCGTCTCTAGACACCTCTATGTGCTCTATGTTGTTCTCTGGAATTCTTATTGTATGTGGTTCCCTGAAGATTTCATTTTGTACAAACACACTTTGGAACTTTTCATTTAATGTTTCACACATTTCCTTTTCATTTTCCGTGAATCTATTTCCCATTTTCAACCTCTGAATATTATCCTTTACCTGCAATTTGTTTTTATGAATTTATAGAATAGACCTGGTTGTAATTATAATTATAATTACCTAAGTGTAGTTACAGGATGAGAGCTACGCTCGTGGTGTCCCGTCTTCCCAGCACTAACAAAAAAAGAAGTAATCAATCAATATATGATGTAACTCGATATGGAGGCTCGACCTCCGGACTATGAGGCCACAGATAATGTTACCATTCCTGGACCACCGCGGCTCCTAGAAAAATATTTGTGCCCTGCAGTTACACACCCGTTCCGACAGGCTCGATCGCAATCTATCCAGATGAGAACACGTTCTCTTCCGACTAGACCACGCTAGAGTCGCTGAAAATTAAATTAAAATAATCTAAAAGATTAGTCGCCGAAGCTTCAGCGTTCAAGCAAGCTCGGCATCTCACCCATTTAAAGTTTGAGAATAGGTTGAGGATGTTTCGTCCCCAAGGCCTCTAATCATTCACTTTACCGGATGAAATTCCGGATATATATATACAGTATATGTATTGTGTTTGCTTCTGTGTGTTCTCGAAGGTTCAGGACTGTTTTGCTCCTTCCCGTTTTACTGGTACGTCCGGCGTCGTTCGGTGGGGCTTCCCTCCGGTCCTTTCTAGGGCTTGTGGGTCCTATTCCGGGCAGCGTCTGTGTTTTTGGCCTTCTTGTTCATTTGTTCATATCTCTTCTCTCTGTGCTGTGTCTCGGCACTGCTCGTTTTCCTTCCGTTCTGGTCCGGGATGTCGGATTGGGCTACTTGTAGCCGGATTGGGCTACTTGTAGCCAGATTGGGCTGCTGGTGGCCTGCTTGGGTTCCGTTTTGGTTCGTTGTTTACCTTACATGGGCCGGCTAAGTTGGCTTCTGTTTCCATGAGTTGGCCTGTTTCTTCAACAGATCGCTCGGGATACAACCAGTTGAGCTACTTTTCTGCTCAACAGGTGACAGATGAGTTGAACGGAGTAGGATGGACCTGTGTAGCCCAACCTGTTGGGCTACTTTTCTTTCGTGTCTTGCGCATGCGCCATGGGAGTTTGTTTTGGTTCAGGGCGGTGTGCACACGTGCTGGTATTCTGCATCCATTTTCTCTTGGGGGCTTCGCCTCTTGCTCTTATCATTCTCCAGTCCATGCTCTGTTGCTCTTGGGGGTGTTCTGGAGTGCCGCTGTGGGAAGGTCATCGGGTTTTTCCCTGCGTTTTTGGGTGGAGGGAGCCTCCTTTGCCGCTCGCCTCCTCTTCTCCGGCATGAGCGACTCTGGCCTGCCTTCCGCGGGCGGTGCTACGGGTACACGATTCCCTGGCCGCCTCCCGCAGCTCCATTCTCGTAGGCTTGCGTCATGGCCCTTCAGCACCTATGTTCTGCAGGTGAGTTGGTGCGGTCTGGCGTCTCCTTCATCCTGATGCTGTTTTTGTTTTTGGGAGTAGGAATGGGTGTACATAGGTACTTGAGAACGTAGAACATAAAAACCGAGGTGCCTGCTGCAGGGCTATTGGCTCATACGTTGCAGCTCTTGTTCTCACCACCCGATTCCTTCCTCGGATCACAGGTGACTGCAGGAGGCCTGTTGGCCCATACGAGGTGGCTCCTGCCTGTACTCATCCTGCCACTCTCCTATGCTTTTCCAACCATGCTTGAGTTCGGGGCCCTGCCTCCACCTTGTTCCACGGTGCAACGGTAAAGGTGCCTGTTCGGTGGTACGTTTTCCTGTGTCGAGGGTGTTATGTGCTCGCCTCATTGTGCTTGAGGGGTTGGGCTCTGGCTCTTTGGTTCCGCCTCTCACCTGTCATTCGACTGACGTGCGGATTCTGTGCCTCCTGGGCTCTCTCGTCTCTACACTTGGAGCTGTGTATGGGGTCAGCCCAGGTATGGGCTGCCTAATGTGTTCCATCAGTTACCTGTTACACTGCACACATTTCTTCTAACGTCCCTGTGGCTCGGTTGGGTACTCGGTTTCCACCTGTGTCCCCTTGTTGTGTGCCACTCGTGTTACAGTTTATCTTTATATACCCTGTCACTTCCTCTGGGAGTGTGGTGATGTTTTGATGCTGTGTTGATACTGTGGCTGCATGTGGGGGTATGGTTGTGGCGTTTTGTTCTGCCCTTCCATGCTGCTTCTGGCGCCTTCCTTGTTTGGGTTTTTTGTTCCCTTGATTTTTATGGGGCCCTCCTTCCTTGCCGGTCTTGTTGTGCTGGGCCTGGTTTTTTCATGTTCCTTGGATTCTCTGTCCTAACCTCGTTGTCCTCGCCTAGTTGTACTGGCTTGGGATGTGCTTGGGCTCTTCATCTCGCCCCTCGCCTATCATTCACTTTCTGTTCAAGTTCCAGAGCCTACTGGGCTCTTCTCTGCACTGGACGCTGGGTGTGGGGTTGGCCTCCGCCACTTCCGTTCCTCATGCATTCCTCTCGTCTTCCTGCTTCACTCTTGTCCCTGGCCCCTGGTGCTGGGGCGTTTCTGCTAGTCTTTTTATCATTTCTTCCTTCACACTGTTGTGTTTTGTTTGTGCCTTTTGGCCTTCCTGTTGCCGGGTTTGGTTTTGTTTTCCTGGCTTGCTCTGCCTGTTGGTTTTTTCAGGGTCTTGCGATGTCCCTTCTCTGGTGTCTCACATCGGACCCGTGGTTTCCAATCCCCTGGCGAGCTTGCTCGCGTTGGGGAGTTTTCTGTTCGGCAGACGTTCCATCTCCTTCTTGCCGGCTTGGGCTTCTGGCCCTGCTTCCTTGGTGGTCGCACCCGAGATCTTCCTGCTGTTCCGCCTCTTCCTAGGCTCGGATGACCCTTGGCATGGCTGATTATATTCTGCCTCAGGCATCTCGCGTCCGTTGGTGGTCTAGTGGCTTAGTTGTTGGTGTCCTACCTGTGTGCTTCTTGGCGGCAGTATGGGATGTTTTGGCGGTCCTTCCTTTTCCTTCTGTCCCTTCTTCGGTGGTTGCGCTTGTTGGCGTCGGTTTGGCTTTTATGCTGGGGGTTGGGGCCGTCGACTTGCCGCATACTGTTGCCTCATTTTATGCGGCGCTGGCAGAGCCGCTTCGACTTGCTTTCGGACTTTCATCTGTGCCGTTCGTAAGCTGTCTCGTGCTTGTTTCACCTCCGGCCTGTTCTTGCGCCGCTTGAGCCGTCCTGATCATTGGACAGAGTGCTCTTTTTTTTCTTCTCGTTTTCTTGTGGCCCCTTCGGTTCCGGTTTGTTTTTTGATGGCTCTTTTCCGGTTGGCATTGGCCTCTGGGAGTCAGGTAGGTGAGCTTCATGCTCTCCTCCTGCGCAGGGGTTTTCTGCTCCTTCGGTCGGGGTGATCGGTTTGGTCGTCTGCTGCTTTCTCCTTCTTTTCTGGCGAAGAATGAGATTGCTGCTTTCCGGAGGGGTCCTTGGGTTGTTGATGCTTAGTTGATTGGGCCGGGGGTGCGTTTTGTTTTTTGTTCGATTAAGGCTCTCCAGCCTGTGGTCTATCTCCATGCCCATGACGTCCGCAAGTTCGCGGCTCTTGCCGCCATCTTTGGTACTGTGTCCTGGGAGGACGTTCCGGCACTGGGAATTTGGCGGTCAAACAGGGTCCTTGGCTGTTCGTTACCTTGTATATGTTCCTGGGCCCAGTCGGGCCTGTGTCGCTTTAGGTCGGCGGATGCGGCCTGTTGTCTCGACTTCGGGTTGAGTAGTGTCCACAAAGAGATAATTACCTAATTATTTCAATGTCTGATTAATTTTTCGTAGTTTTTTGCTGTAATATTATTCAATAGTGTGTAGTGTGATATATTTATATAATAAAATGAGTGAATTATCGCTGTACTCAAAAATATGGTGTGCATATTGTTGATTCAATTATGTTCATCAAACAGTGAACAAATACTTTGTCGGTTATTACACTATATACACAGGTTATATATAAGTATCTGCATGTTTTGTTCACCATAACGAACCACTAAGTTGCTATTATGAGTCAAAAAGTAATGACGCGTGACCGCCACACACCAGCCAGCCACTCACTCCCACAACACCTCACTCACCCACATTCTCCTCCCATCATACTGTTTTTGCTTTTATTCACTATATACAGACGTTATATATAAGTATCTACATTCGTGTTCACCATAACGAACCACTAAGTTGGCATGCTGAGTGGCAGTGGCAATGGCAGCCAGTGGCAGCCTGCCACTCCCTCCCTCCCTCACCTCACCTGACTTGCCACCATTCTCCTCCCACCATACTGTTTTTGCTTTTATATACAGACGTTATATATAAGTATTTACATGTTTTGTTCACCATAACTGTACATCTAAGCTTGTATGGTGAGTAAAGGCACAAAGACGTAGCTACTCACACAGTCAGCTGGTGGCGGCCGCCCTCAAGGCCAGACGCACTAATATTTCTCCTCCAACAATACTGTTTGTGGTGTTATTACGCTATATACACACATTATATATAAATATCTACCCGTTTTTTTCACCATACTATATATAAGTATCTACATTTATGTTCACCATAGCGAACCACTAAGCTGGTATGGTGAGTGCAGTCAATAAAAGGTGGCCACACACACAGTCAGAAAACAATGCCACCATCCTCCCTCCATGGAGCACAGCACTAAATATCACCACAATCCTGCTATTATCAGAACCCTGGTCAGTTTTATCAGTCGGGGGACTTCTGTAATAATATCATCGCAACATAATAGCATGAACAAGTATATTATGGCATTTTTAGGCGATGCTGTGGTCACAGGCTGAACAGCAGTGCTGTGAGCTCATGCTGCTTGCATCAGGCTTGGTAGCTCACTCAATACTGAGGCCCCTAACACCTGGGAATTTGGCCCACGATTTAAAAAAAAAATGGCGTCTGTTTACAAGAGCCCTGATGAAGGTGTGGTGAACCCCTTGTATCCGCAGGCCGTTTAAATCTTGCGTAGTACTCCAAAGCATCATATGATGCGATGCGCAATTTACTGCAAGTCGGTCAAAGCATCATATGATGCGATGCGCAATTTACTGCAAGTCGGTCAAAGCATCATATGATGCGATGCTCAATTTACTGCAAGTCGGTCAAAGCATCATATGATGCGATGCGCAACTTAAGGGTTAAAACCGCACTGAGGCCAAGATGTCGATGGCTGCCCTCACCAGCTTACCGGTGGAAAGGATTGCTCCTCCCACAATCTAGTACAGCCCCCCAGGGCTCCACCCATTATTTGGCTACGGCCAACCATTTAAAACTAGGCCTGACGTCTGGCTCTCCAGGGCCAATAAAGACTTGGCACTTATCTACCGCCAATCACCTACCATGATCTGCAGTGGAAGGATACATGAAATTCTTGAAGGTTGAGTCAGCTCACTCCAGCTATCGACGGGTACAAAGGCGTCTCTATAGTGGACCACCCGAGCCTAGTGTACCTCCGAGCAATGTTTACAAAACTGATAAATTATGTTCAACCCTGTCTCCTCCAAGATAAAAAGGTAGGGACATTTGACTCGCCTGGTATGGGGAAGGAGCCGGTGAGAGGGG